TATGTAATCACAAACATAGACACTCTCGGATACAAAAATCATCAAAAATCTAGCGGGGAGGTTTGGTCCTATCATTTTATAGAGCTCTATTTCATCATATTTCATTCATTTTCCATCATTTTCCCACCCTATTGAACAAATGCAATAGCCCCCATTCAGGTCAGCGCTTGTGATTTTTTTTGTGGGTATCCTGTGACATCTTGTGACTGTTCCTAGATTCTGGCCCGAAAACCTGTCCTCCAGCTTGTTTTTGCACATCACGGGGTGCCTGCGTGTGATTTCATAGAGGGTAAAACATGATAAAATTACGCAAATTGGTTTCACAACTCGTCCCAGCTTGCTGTTTGAATCAGTTTTTGGCACATTAGGGGGTCCACGCGTGTGCTTTCATAGAGGGTAAGACTCACATAATTTGGGTTCAAAACCTCTCCAAGCTCGTCTTTTTTTAACATCAGGGGGTCCACACGTCTCATTTCATAGAGGCTAAACCATGGTAAAACTACGCAAATTGGTTTCAAAACTCGTCCCAGCTTGCTGTTTGAATCAGTTTTGGGCACATCAGGGGGTCCACGCGTGTGCTTTCATAGAGGGTAAAAATCACATAATCTGGGTTCAAAACGTGTCCAACCTTGTCTTTTTTACATCAGGGGGTCCACACGTCTGATTTCATGGAGGGTAAAACCATGTAAAAACGGGTTGGGTTGACAAGCTTGGTTCTGAGATCTTCTGGGTGTGATTGCAGGAAGACTGGCTGCCTTTTGAGAATGGCAACGATAGGATGAGCGAGCTCCAGATTGAGCATTGGTTTGGTCGCTTGAGATCAAAGCAGGCAAATGCCTAAATGTCCGCATCCACCTTTTGGAAGAATGCATCTGCAGACATGTCTCGTTTGGGCTACAAGGTTGGGGATGTGGAGCAGAAGTCCAACAAAAAGGAAGCGCCTTTGACTGAGAAGCAGTTTCTCTTCAGCAAGAAGACGCGAGCCGTTGGTTGGGTTATGCGAGGCCTTTTCGGGAGGGTCTTGGAGGATTCCTAAACTTAGTAGTAATATGTAGTAATTAAGCTTTATTAATCTGTTTGTTTTTGTGCAGGTTTCAAACGTGCTGCGACCGTGGGTATGATTCCGCTCTTCAGCTTGCAGCGTTTGCACAGAACTGCACGGCTGCCTCCTTGAAGTCCTACTATGAGGAATCTTGCGGTGTTGGATGGTTTCAGGACCGTCAGGCTTGCGCACCCTCGTTTGAGGATGAGGATGAGGATGAGATAGAGGAAGAAGCCCGTGCCACGCAACCTAGCATCAGTTGGTAAATGTTTGCAATTGTTCTTGATGTTTTTGATTTTCAAGGTTTGATTCTAAAAGATTCTATATAAAGGTTTTTGAAACCATTGATCAGGTCCGAGACCGTGCGTTGCCAGCATGTCCTGGGAGAGATAGCGCAATTGGTACAGTCTGAGCGAAGGGAGCAGGGTCAGGGTGACCAGCCTCAAGACGAAGACAATGTTCAGGCTTCTGAGTATGATTCAGATTTGCGGCGCTTGCCAGAGGAATCGAGAACACTGATCCGCGATGCTTGTGAGGGTGAAGAGGCCAAGATCCAGGAAGGCGCACATGCTTCACCGACCTTGCTACGCCACGCAATGTCCTTTGTCAAGATGTTGCAAAATACTTTGGATTGGACATGATATGACTGTCAATGTTCAATACATATTTAAACATTTTAAACATATCTTGGCATAGCAAACATACACACGCACACGACTCAATCCAAGTCAAACCACCATCTAATGTTGTTGACTCCCGCTTGAGGTCATGCGGTGGTTGCAGGTTCAACGCTTTGTTCCGATTATGCGTTCATCTACGTTGCGCCCCGTTTGGAGCGGATAGTACTTGGATGAAGAATCCACGCCGCTTGCTGAAAACCCGGAAGTTGAACTGGTATCAAGAGAATTGCAGGAGACTAGCAGAAACCCAACAGAAGAGCGCATCTGCACGTGATAGGGTCAGGGCAGGCAGGCTTGAGCGGTGGCGGCAACAAGGCGAGAAACTTCGGGAGTCGTTTGCTGTGCCATTGACTCAGCCAGAATGCATTGAGTCATTTGGAGTCATTTGTATTTTGCTTTTTGTACCATTTGTATCATTTTTTTAAACAATTCTTTTTTAAAAAACATGTTCGTGACACCTGTTGGGTAGCATCTCTATGCCTAGGTCGGGCAATGTGGTGCTCTTTGTCCCATCCAGCCAGTCAACTTCAATAGAAGCTGGTATGATCTTGACTGTCTGGCGGATTGGTCAGAAGAAAAAGGTCGCAGTGGCTCCTTGCAGCGTGGACGCCTGCTATGCGTTCCGTGTGGTGCAACTTGAGCCGGTGAAGGACTGTGACTGGGAGACAAAACAAGAACATACATGAACATACCATAAAAATCCATTAAAAAATATAGAATACAATTAACATATATTAAAGGCAATTAAATCATATTAAAGCAAATCAAAACTAAAACAAGCAAAACACATCAAACAAGAAGAACTCACCAAGACAAATTTAGACCTATAAAGGAACATAGAGTATATAAAATCTCAAGTATGGGGGTGGGCAAGTTGTCTACCCCTGTTCATGCATGCTTATGGGATCTAAGTTTTAATAGCGGGTTCCATGCCAAACTCTATAAAGTCTGTAGGGTGGAGGTGTGCAAATTGTATGTGTTATACCATTAGTTCCCTAAAAGAACAATGATGTACCTATGTAGTGGACAAATGCAGGCTATGGGTCAGTGCTTGCAATTTTATAGATGACTTTGTCATCTCATGCGAGGATCGCGCCGGTGATTGGGTTTGCAACGCCTTGAGCAGCTGTCGCGTGGTGCCGTTGGAAGCTCTGATAGCCATTCTGGATTGTCAGGATTGTTACCCAGTGCACTATTTGTTCTAGTTTTTTGATGTTTTTGGTTTGGTACGGTTATTTAATGATCATTTTCTTTCCACGTCATCTTTTTTCTGGGGACTGATCGGACCAATCTCAAGCTCTGGGAACTAGATGGAACTAGAGTGTTCCGGAGCTCAGGCTTTGTTCCCGAGCACGAAGCTATCCATCAGTTGCCCATCAAGTTGACCAGCGCTTCGGTGACTGCGGTTCAGCAGGCCAAGGAGAATGGTGTCAAGGATTGGCGCTGCGCCTTTTTGGAGTCCACTTCCGTTCACACCCGGAAAGTGAGACGAAAGAGAGGCTTCAAGCACTTTCTGGTGAAGCGGGGTGTGAATGCAAAGGGGGGACCTCCCAAGGCGAGATCCAAAGGGCAGAGTGCAAAGCAGAAGGCGGCTGGCCGTTTACAAAGGCCAGCCCGCCACATTGAGTGCATTCCTGCCAACTTCGGCAGATCAGCGCGGGGAAGGGAGTTGATTCGGCAGGAAGTTACAGCGCTGAAGGCATTAGATCGAGGTGCCTTTCCCACGAAGCCGCTCTTCGGGGAGGATGGTGTGTGCCGGCTTCGGGTTCCAGAGGCTGAGGGACTGACATGGGATGTTTTGGTCAAGAGGGCGCCAGTCTTCTTGGAGGCCGAATTCCCTTCACGTGTCAGGAACCTCTTTGGCAAGCAGGTCCACGAATACTTGGAAAAGGCAAAGCAGCAGTTGAAGGGTGCGAGGCCTACACGGTCCATGTTCCTGAAGCTTGTGCGGGAGTTGTGCAGGACTCCTGATCCCATTGAGTGATTCGTCCTTGGTAGCAGAAGACAGGAATCCTGACCATCAAGACATATCAACGTCAATGGATTCATATGGAATTCAAATGGCTAATGTTTCTGCAATGTTCTTCATGGTGTTCTTTTTTGTTCGTGTGGGTTCATATTCTGTTATATTCTCAATTTCTCCTTGTATTCGCCAGTGGTTTCTTTGGAAGTCAGGATTTCCGTGCAAAGCGCTTTTGAAGCTACTTAAATGCTTGCGCGATGGGCTGGTAGGGGATTTGACCTGGCTTAAGGAGGCAGCAGGCTGAGGGAATGTGTCTAGAGATGTCTAGAGCAAGCCCAGTGAAGAGGCATGAATACATTGACCGACACGGCGCTTGCAGCGCTCCAGACCAGGCTAGTGAATCAGTAGTGCAAATCAGACAAACATAGACAGACATCAAGAGAAGCAGACCGGAAAAAAGGAGTGAAGCCACGTTCCGTTTCCGTTTCCGACCCGTTTCCGTGGAACTTGACTCTCTATAAAATCACAGCGCACTTCTTGAAAGGATATGTGCACGGACACTCGTACGTAAACGGGGTCATTCAAACAGCCTTAAATGCACGTCCAACCTCACCAAATCATATGTTCCAGAGGACGTATGACCTCACCAAGTCATATACGTGACCACGTGCCACCTCACCAGTTTATATCTATAAAATCTCAAGCAGGACCCCTACCCCTGTATGGGAAGGGGGATGTCATCCCTCCGTTCGGCTTCGGGAGGACGAGGAGAAGGAGATTCGGAGACACCAGACCCCTCCTGGCGCCATGGAGCTGGACTACCCCACACTACCGCACTAGGCTTCCAGACAGGGCACCCCGACAGGAGGATCCTGGTACATGGGATCTTCCACCCGTGCAGAACTTCCAGCCTTTTTTCATAACTACAATAGCACGCGACTCTACAGGTCTCCGACATGGAGGCGACTTGCAGGCGTTCTCAAGTCGCAGGTTGAAACCTGTTGGAGGGTGCTGGTATATATAAAGAGAGAGTGGCCCCGACAAATACCGTTTCCAGAGCTCGGTGGAGGTCGGAAGATCGGGGGGAACCCTCGGGCTGTTTCCTTCGGATCCACGATCGCTGCGGATGAAGAATCCAAACGAGTCCGGGCGCCGAAGAATCCGAGTCCGGGCTCGGCGTCGGACCCGACCCGACCCGGACCCCCGAGTGACTCCGATTTTCAGGGCCCGAAACCAACCCTATCTGGTTCGGGCAAGGATTCGGGAATGAGAGCACTTCGGGCCCAGCGGATCCCGACGCCCTGATGGATCTCAGGGGATGCGGGGGAACGACTCCGTTCCCTTCAAGGACGGATGAGAGCGGGATGAGGATGGACGAGTTCGAATCGTGGAGAACCCCATTTGGACCATGTCCATGACCCGAGTTGTTGGGCATGTCCGACATGATGTCCTGTGTGTGCTGTAGTCGAACTGGACTTCTATCTTCTATAGGGACGAAGGGATGGCTTCCCTTGGAGACCTGGAGATGGAAGAGGTCAGTTTGACCTGCATGATGAAATACTGGACTGGAGTTGGTCATACAAAAAATTCTCAAGGAGGTAAAAGACCAGGTTTGGACCTGGGTCAGACTGGATGTACGTAGGGAATCGTAGGGAATGATTGTAACATGATCCATCATGGTCCGATGAGTGAATATTGCGGGTGCCAAGATCTTTGTTCTTCGAACTGTGCAAACATGTTTTGTTTTTTCATCATAAGAGAAGAGCCAAGTTTGGCAGACGTTTGTTGCGTTGGAAGATCTATCACACGTCTCTTAGATCATTCCGTGTATCATGGCAGTATTGCAGTTGTGTCGGACACATCCCCTTCGCCAGTGATCGACTCCTGCGGCAGAGCCCGGGCCTGCGTGGATGGAGACCCCCAACGACAATGCCGAACGGAACGACCGCCTTCTCTTCACTGGGAAATGGCGGGCATCCTTGTTGCAGTTTCCCATTCACCGAAACCGTTCGACCATGGAGAGTCAACAGGTTAATTGTCGTCGAAACCCCATAAGACCATGGGACTGGGACCATTCAAATCCATTGCGGCCGCCTTGGGTGGGTGGATACCTCCAACCGTTTGCTTTTGGCTTCTGCATTGATCCAGTTGTTCATCGCCCTGGGCCCCCGGTGTCCAATGGAAATTCAATAAGCCAAATTAGATCTTCCAACAGTATACAGTGGATCTAGGATCTTCCACCTGGCGTATTATAGTTGGAAGATCCAATGGAAGATACAGTTAATACCCCTGGATCTTCCAACTGTTAACTGTGCCAAATTGCTGCCTTTCTCCCCTGTGTTTGTAAAGGAAAGGAGCCTTCCAAGGGATCATTTTGTCCACTTCCATGTTAGTGATTCAGAGTGTATCCCTAGGATTCCAACACCATTAAGTTAAAATACCAAACAACCACTAAGGATTTTACTACAAACATTTGTTTAAACACGTTTACACGCTCTGTACCTTGTGAAGCTTCTCTAGCTGGCTGGATGATCTATACGACACGAATTTGTGTTTCCTTTGTGCGGCAGCGAACGATAGGAGCAGGGTCGACAGAGCTTCTTTCTCTAAAACGCCAGGCAACCAGGCTGCAGGATCGTCATGTCTTCCTGAAGGGTGGTGTTTTTCGGTTTGTTATTTTCTCTTGGGCCTCTTTTTGAGACGGTTGAAATAGCTCCCAAGGTGAGGCAGGCCGCCTTGGCCGGATTCAGAGTAGATGGCACAATGTTTGAGAGGTGGTTCATGACAAATGGAGCCCCATCCTCTTGGGGTGCCAAAAAGACTTTTAGATCAGACTGGATACTCCCCGCCAAGCACCGGGTTTCGAGGACACTGCGATCAAAAGACACACCAGTGACTTCTCTGGGTGGACGCCGCGAATCGTCTCACTTTAATTGCCCCTTCACTTGAATTGGGTGCCCTAGCAATTTCTATACAGAAACATGATGCCCAACACATGTTCTTCACTCGCGCACGCTCGCACGGTGCAGCTGTCCCGACTGTCGCTCAGGTTCAGCATGGTTCAGCTGTGCAGCTGTGCCATGGGCATCAAATCTGGGACTCAGCTCGTTTCACTCCGGGGAGATTGACTCATCAAGGGGTCTTTGATGTTGGGGTCTTTGATGGTCGACCTGCAATCCCCCAAAAAGACCTACCAGGGGCCTCACAAACCAGCAAAGACCTGGTTTTCCCTAACAAAACAAACTCTAACATGGCAAAAAAACACATGGTTTTTCGAGGTGACCACTTCTATTTGTCATGGCTTTGAGGGCCACTGGCAGTGGAGACATTCTTTTCCCGCACCCCAGGCACAAAGAATAGAAAAAACCTCGTGAGAAAGTCCATCTCTGGGCACAGTAAGAACTGGCCACGGCCTCGAAAGTGGTTGGTTTGGTTGAGGTACAGCTTGGACCGAAATACAGGCAAAGCGAATGATTTGCCATGATTTGCCGACTGGACTCAAGTGGGGTCCGGGTTGCGAGGACAGCCCGGTGGTGGGCACACCGTTGCCAGCCCGGCCGACCGACGCTGGAGACCAATTCTTTGGTTCTCACATCACCGCGGTTTTTTTCTTCGAACATCACCAGGGGCCCTCATCAAACCCACGCAAAAATGCATGTCTTCACACAAAAAGCATCAACACCTACTGTTTTTGCGGAAGATTCGTCGATGGTTTGTTTTGTGCCCCTGGTCCACTAGTGACCGATCTCGTTGCCGTGCCAGTGCAAGGAATGTGGAAGGTCTTGGAATTTGCTTCAAATCATGATGGAGAAAAAACACACATCTTCACACAGGCTCGAAATCCTGAGTCATAATTAAAAAAAACATTGCCATGTTCTAAGGTTCTCCTGAAAGCTTCTGGCATCTTCACTCATCTTCACTCCCTTCGGCCTTCCAATCCGAAGGCACTCCAAGTTGGGATCTGGGCGGGTCCTCCTGGACCGCAGACCCTCTCTCTCTGAAGACGGCGATGTGCTGAAGACGGAGAGCGGAGAGCGTGTGTGCACGGCACGAGACCTGAGCCGGCTTAGCGACTTTGATCGGCGGCCTCCACCGGCGCCTCCACTTACCAGCACTCTCCTGGCCAGGCTGTTAGTTGAGGGTTGTTGGACCCAGTCTCAGGTCGAACCATTGGTGACCTGTCGGAGGGCCCTGGTAGTAGGTTCTCTGTTCCTGGTGTGGAAGCCAAATGGAAGAATTGAGTTGATAGCACTCAGAGTAACTGATCAAGGAGTTCAAGACCCATTTCTTTAAGACATCATATAGGCATCTAACCAGGACCGACTCAAGGTGAAGTCTTTGTTCGTGACCTCTTCAGGGCAGTTATAGTTCTTCGAGGTTGCTTAATCTTAATTTAAAGATTTCTTGGATGAACAGTGCATACATCTAAGGACCTAATGGCTTAAAAAGAGCAGGTGAAAACGGTTGAGGTCGGATGTTCAAGGCGGTTTCAACTCGGTCACGATGAAAGGCAGGACGAGCCGTGAGGCCGCTGTTGCAACAGTCGCGGCTTCGGCATCGAATACCCAAGCGCACGACTGCTTGGAAACGAAGCGGCTAGTTGGTAATCTCAAAATCTTTATACTTCAACTGTTGCTTCCCTTATAGGTCTGTGAAAGCTCTGACGTTCCAAGTGGGATTATGGGATAGGCCAAGGAACAGTACATTTTGTGACGAGTTTGGCTCTTCCTTCCGCCTGCTTATATGGTTGGTGATACGCAAACCCATTAATCGAGGTGTTCAAATACAAAATCATGCTTTCTTTCCAGGGGAAAACCAGATCTTTGATGGTTTGTGGGGCCCCTCGCATATAGAAGACGGTGGTTGCTGGCGTTTTGAGGAGAGCCAAGATCACGGTTCACCCGGATGGGCGCTCAATCATCCAACGATACTTTCTGATGAAGGACAGGGCGTTCAGAACGTCGTTGCATTGGAAGTCATGGAGACCGTTTGTTCGATCGTGCACGTGGTTCACATTGATTCGGGGAAGGTCTGTGTGGCCAAACCTGGCATCGGCAACGGCAGAACCATGCGCCCTGTCGGTACAAGGTACCAGGTCCTTCGACACCAGTGGTGTCGGGATGAGGGTGTCAGCTTGAAACGCACAGGTCCGGTCTGAAAGACCCGTTTGTGTCACGATGCCCTTTGTTCCGTTAGCATCTCATTGGATCAAGTCATATCAACTCCGTGTGAGGAGCGGTAGCCTTCAGTTCACTGACCTGTAGCCTTCAGCGGTATCTCCTGCCGAGACACGGGAGATGCCGTCAAGAAACACGCCTGCCGCGTTCTTTTGGCGGGGTGGAATCAGGACACCTCCCACCTGGCGGGTACAGAAAAGCGAAGAACCTGTACAGGATGTCTCAGCTGGACGCATGAGAGGCATGGAGTCCCAAATACAAGACATGGAAAAGAGCAGCCGGGAGCTGCTGTGGCCTGCTTTGATGTGGGCCAGGGCAGCTTTGACGAGAGTATATATAATACATGTTCAAAAGATACGCTTTCCACTGGGCCTTTTCAGCTTGCCATTCGGGTTGGTTCTTTTCGTTTGATTCAGATGGCCTGGCTTGATCAGAAGAAGAGAAGGAGCCATCCCTTCACAACATCCCAAGCCTTTGTTCTTCCGGAGCCCAAGCCTTTCGGTTTGTTCGACCGACACGAGGCGAACATGACCCGTCCGGGGGACCCGGAAGGCCGTTGAAAGTCCTCTCCAGGGGGTCCCAGTAGCATCCAGCATCGCACCGTTCGTAGCAGTCCTCAGTCTCAGTTTGTAAGGCCAGGAGCCCCGTTCGTGTCACGATGCCCTTGTTCCTAGTAGCTTGGACGTCTTAAGGAACAAGCCCCCTAACATGCACGTCCTGTCTGGGTGGTTTGTCTGGAGACCTGTTTAATTACGTAGGGTAGCCAGGACACGGCAGGATGATCCTAGTATACCAAATAGAGAGGTCCACCGAATCCATGGTTTGGTTGGAAAGGTGCCAGGACACCAAAAAGCCACCATGTTCTTCTTGTTACTACAGGTGAAACGATTCCCAGTGAAACGAATCCCAAGGAAGCTTCCTTCTAAAAAGTTGTTTGTTAATAGTTAATAAGAAGCTTCAAAGACATACTATAAAAAGCTTATTGTTACTGCAGGTGAAACGATTCCCAGTGAAACGAATCCCAAGGAAGCTTCCTTTTTCCATGCCCGATTCGGACGGAGCTTGAAGTCCAGAATTATGAAAAGGTCTTTCATATGGTCAGGCCAGAATCCTTGATTTAAAAATCAAAAAGTGAAAACAATCAGTCAATTGGAAAAATCAAAGTCATAAAAACGTCGAACAAAAAGTCAAAGACAATGTCAAAAAACAAAAATATACCACAGCTCGAAAAAGTCAAAGACAAGTTAAACAAATAATCAAACAATTCAAAAAATATATAACAACCCGAAAAAGAAAAACAATCATAAATCGAATCAAAAGTCAAAAAAGTCAACATAAAACCACTTGAAAAATGTAAGAAGCAACACGGTCAAAAAAGAAGTCAAACAAACAGTGAAAAAACAGGTCAAGAAGCAGTGGGATCTGTGCACATTGCATTTTTTGACTTTCTGAAACTTTCTGATTGACTTTTTTGACTTTGACTTTTGGGACTGACTTGTTTGACTTATTTTTCGACTTTGAAAAAAATTACACCGGCAAGGGACCCCAAATAGTGTAAAGAGGAACAGATGGAACATGGCATCACGTGGAAGGAAAGAAGGAACACACAGATGAAAGCACAAATATGAGAGGAGACGGACAAGAGCACAAATGTGAGAGTGCACAGATGAGAGCAGCAGATGCGGAAGCATGTGAAAGACCAGAAGCATTTCGCAGTTCACAATGTACCGCGCCTGCCACGAAATCTGCACATCGAGGTTCACAAAGTACTGCGCCTGCCACGAACTCGGCACATCGAGGTTCACAAAGTACTGCGCCTGCCAGGAAATCTGCACATCGAGATTCACAAAGTGCTGCGCCTGCCACGAAAT